TGCTTGACAAGTCGCCGGACTTCCTCTTGATTTCATTCCGTTAATCACTGCTTTCCTTGCATGCTATAGGGTGACATCACGTTCCAAATTCCCTTTTAGGCCATACTATCATGTTCCTCCTTTACCAGAGCTATCACTTCATTTCAGTTCAACATTGTGTGCGTCTCGAACTACATATGTTGTTGATGGGGCTGGCAGAGGAGCTTGGTGAGTGGTCAGTCGATCGTCGACGTCTCCGTTGTACGAACACATGAAGAAGCTTGCCCGCTGCAAATCTTCAGAAGGCCAGTGCCGCGACGAGTATTTTTGATGCCCTTCACACACCGTGAACATTTGCTAGGAAATTCTGGAAAATTTCACTCTACTTCGCGTTTTTTACTGATAAGCGCTTAATGGCTATCACTTATTCGCCTCAAGAATCAAACAGACTGTAGGGAAGGCTACTCTGTTCCATTTTTATCGCTGTTTTTCAACATTAATGTGCACTGGGTGTTTATCGAGCCCTACCGCGGTCGTAATGGAAGAATACCTCATGGACTGTCAACTTTTGCTGTCTATTGCCTCAAATAATTAGCTGGACGAGTTGGCTGTTGAAGGCTGTTTCTCCTGTTTCTCTTGAAAGGTGTCTCGAGTTGCGGTAAGACTCTTCCTTGCCCAACAGTGAATCAAGTTTGTCTACTGTGATAAACGGAAAAGTTTGGTGGTGAAGCTCTAACAGCTGTTCCTACAACTCAGCATAGTTTGACCGCTTTATCCACTCATTCCCAAATGTTCATGACAGACGATACCCTAAAAGTTCTGGTGCATTTTTCGAATGTTTTCGTAAAATGATTTCCATACCAATTCTCATGGGCGATGAGCGGCGTAGCAGAGCATGCCCGCTTCTCTCGGGTTCAGAATGAGTAGAGAATAAACTACGTTTGTTAGGCTTATAGTTAATCTATTTAACACGTTTAATTTAATGTTTACTGAACCGTCGAAGCCTACCACTTCATCTATCCTGCAATACCTCCTCTTGTCGTTGCCTATCGTGCGCTGCTAAAATAGTTCAATCTCCTCCACCGTGGGAACCACAGCCTGAAGGATGTCTTGGTCCAGAAAGGCGCTCGGTATCCAATATGAACCGCGTTGAGCTTTTCCGTTGAATGGCCAAGCCGCGCGAGATACCTATGCGTTGTGTTACACCCAGATGTTCAGGACCACACTTGAAAGGTGTCTCGAGTTGCGGTAAGACTCTTCCTTGCCCAACAGTGAATCAAGTCTGTCTACTGTGATAAACGGAAAAGTTTGGTGGTGAAGCTCTAACAGCTGTTCCTACATACAACTCAGCATAGTTTGACCGCTTTACAGTATTCACTACCACACTCTTCGAAGATAGCTAGAAATGACGTCTGTCTAGGTCTCCGAGCTCGCTTGAAATTTTTTAAGCTCGTCCGCAACTACGAGCTGTGAATCAATATTTATTTATTTATTTATTTTGGTGCACGCTTAGGTGCGCTACAACAATTCCTTGATCACATTAATCAAACAAACTGCAGTCAAATGTGGGTAAATTATGGTCTAAAACAAAAGGTAGGAAGATCTCCAGTCAGGTGTGAAAAAAAAAGTGAATCAAAGTCAATGCGCATCTTAGAATCTTATACACTCCGTTGCAAAACTATACGACATACCCCAAATTTTGGGTTTCTGAAGTTACGAGAAACCTAGCACAAAAATGGGTAATGCCATTCGATTCGGCGTGTAAGGAAACCTACAACAGAGAATCTTCCAAGCAGTTCTGTCAACTTCCAGAAATCTAGGGTCAAAAAATGAAAAAACGGCCGTTGCAAAAACTATACGACATAGCAGAAATTTTGACAATTTTTTTCACTTTAGTAAAATTTTCCCCTAGCACTCCACAGTCATATTAGTACTGTATTGTAGATATGCAGGCCACGGATTCGCCGTATCTTGCATAGCACCTTGAGGAGCCGATCTGACATGTTTTCTACCAATTTTTGTATGCGTCCACCTGGATTCGTGCGTAATCTTCGACTAGCATCTTTTGTAGGAGATGCAAGGAATTGTACCGATTATTCTAGGAACAAAGACTACAAGCTTCGATGCTCCCATAGTTTTCATGGACTTTAGACCTCGCTAACAAGTGGACCATGCGAGTAAATCTACATGGTAGTTTGCAGAGCAATAGAAGAGGTAGCACATGGATAAACAACCTTGTCCTGCTGCGAAGTATGCCGTGATGACAATTCTGCGTCGTAGAAGGTAGCACGCGATGATCGAGCACTTACTTCAGCCGGTGAAGTTCATTCGTTGAATCGTGAAGACCACATCTATCTTGCCACACCAACCGTAGGTTGTGCAGTATCAGTATCAGGCTCCTTTTCGATGAGAAGATGGATTTTCTGCCCAAATCATTTTTATACTAGTGTCATCCATCAGGCTCGCTAGGAGGAACATTTTTTCACCAGAAAAACTACCTGCAATATCACACACCAAACCAAGCTGTTTGGTCTCTAGGTAATAAGGCACGAAATTCAATCCGCACGAGAAGCTAAAATTTGCCGAGCACGAATGATGTGCTCTAATATTACCCGGCTACGGTATGCGATACATAATCGTCATCATCAGCATACTTCTCAGCAGTACAGCGCTGTTATTCATGTCGGTGAGCCAACTTCGCCTTGCTTTGAAGCCTACCATGTAGATTTACTCAGATGGTCCACTTGTTAGCGAGGTCTAAATCCAATGAAAAACCTATGGGGCATCCAAGCTCGTAGCCTTTGTTCCTAGAATAATCGGTACAATTCCTTGCATCTCCTACAAAAGATGCTAGTCGAAGATTATGCCTAGATCCAGGTAGAGGCATACAAAAATTGGTAGAAAACATGTCAGATCGGCTCCTCTCAAGGTGCAATTGCAGGGCACGGCGAATCCGTGGCCTGCATATCTACAATACAGTACTAATATGACTGTGGAGTGCTAGGGAAAATTTTACTGAAGTGAAAAAAATTGTCAAAATTTCTGCTATGTCGTATAGTTTTGCAACGGCCATTTTTTCATTTTTTGACCCTAGATTTCTGGAAGTTGACAGAACTGCTTGGAGATTCTCTGTTGTAGGTTTCTTTACACGCCGAATCGAATGGCGTTACCCATTTTTGTGCTTAGTTTCTCGTAACTTCAGAAACCCAAAATTTGGGGTATGTCGTATAGTTTTGCAACGGAGTGTATGGGTTGCCATCTGCTCTTCTTGCTCGTTAATCATCTCATGGAATTCACAGAAGCATCTGTACGATTTCGCTGATCTCCCACGCGGAACCTCTACCAATTTCCCCCAACTAAGGTCAGATATCTTCTTAATATCTTCTTTTCCAAAACGTGGCCTATTGCGAGTTGGAGAACCAAATGCCTCGTACTTAAATAGTGATCGTCGGATCTTTTCAAATCCAAAATCGCATTGCTCTTCAAACAAAGCGTATTTGCCCGAATTGGAAGCTATTACAATCCCCATACCTTTGCCTACAAGAATGAGTTTAATTGATCCGGATGTTGGAAGTGCTGGAGTTCTGTGAGCTAAGAACTCGGCGAAGGTCGTTTCACCACCATGTTGGGTTTCAATGCTCAATCTTCTCTCTAAGTAGACCTTCCAGATGGTTGGAAAAGTGATAGTTGGTAGGCAATAGGTTCTAGTGTGTAAAATGTTTGCAGCACAATTTCGTAGCTCAGCTAGTTCAACTTGGAAGTCCGAGATGGGGTTGTGCAACAGTGGGTAGAAGAGCCGGCGGCACCCAATTTTCGACTTCTTTGGGCTTTTTACCCTCACCGCTATGTTTGGAAATCTTATGTCGGTTACGCCCAATTCAGAAGCAGCCTGTTCAACAGTTTCATGCAGATTTGGTTTGGTCAAAACCCTCAGCTGATCTTTATCAGTCTCCGATATCACTAATCTCCTTCAAAGCTTTCAACATCGCGAGAAAGACATTTTGAATTACGACTGCACAGCGTATTTTTGTGGACTCAGAACCAAATGCTTAGTTGATATCGCAACTTGCTTCGCACATTTCCGAGCAAGTTTGAGGGGAAACAAGAAACTGATGCAAACTTCGTATAAAAACAAAGCTAACAAATTCAAGAAAGTAAACAAAATCATTTTGAGTCCTATTCCAAAAGTTTTTCCAATCATTCAATCCAATGAGGCTGTGCTAGAAAGGCGGGGTGTGCGAAGTGGACGGAGCACGTCTGCAGGACACGGACTCACCGAATGCTTGTCCACGTGCATATGCAAGTGAGAGCGAAAAAAAATCGAGAAAAGAGTTATATTCGTGTACAATTTGTGTGAACAAACTTTTTGGGAGCGCCATTCAGTCACAGCTTCCCACTGACTTTTCATAAAAAAGCATAGCTAACAGAATTCAAGAAGTATAGAAAAAATTTATGGCATTCTCCAACTTCTCCCTTCTTGTAACCTCGGCAAGTCAGTTGTAAGTTTAAAAAATTTTCTTGTACCTTACGAGGTTTAATAAAGGTTCCACCAAAAAACCTCGTAAGGCACAAGAAAATTTATTAAACTTACAATTGAAATTAATAGCGTCGTGGCAGAGGGCCTGTTTCAAAACTGACATGACCACTGGCATATTCCCTATCTTCTCCATTGAAACTTCAACCTCCCTTATTGCAGCTTACAGCTACAATGATTGCTGGTCAAAACAAGTTACAGAATGAATGATCAACATCAACAGACTTATCATCAATGAAGATACCCAGAGTAGATGATATGAGAGAGTAGGGTTAGTTCTGTCTTCAGCGACCACCTCGAAAGGTCGCCCCCGAATAAACATTGGCACTCAGCTGTCTTCCACCACGAACCACCGAGACACTGGTGCATCGTGCTATATCGACACACTGGAGCATCGGATCGAGGACAAGAAACAAGTACGCTAACAGGTACGCTTTCAATATACAACGCATAAGCGGGATAGATGGCTACACAATCGGTAGTAACCATGGCGGGGTCTCTAACTTTGAAAACGCAGAAGAGTCGGTTAACGAGGCATTGCAACAATCTTAGTGACTTGTGTATGCGATGCGAGGAAGACATTTCCTTCCAAAATCTTTCGTTAAGCTCAGATAGTGATGTGTTTGAACGCATGGCATCTTTAACCCACGAATTGAAGGCCTCAGCAAAACTACTCAGTGAGCATCTCAGCGCATTCATTAGCACAGTTGAAGGGCTTAATGAACCGCTTAACGAAGAACAAGAAGGACAAGTTTTGGATTATATGGAGAAAACGCAATCAGCAATAGACCGCGCGGAGAACCTAGTTATTCGAATGGAAGCAAAACGCCTCAGCGTACTCGATTCTAAGCGGGAGAGCGAAATGCGCAACGAGCGAACGCAGGTCCTTAGTATAGGACAGCTTGAAATGAAAACGCCAAAACTTCCAGCTATCCCTATACCCACATTCGATGGGAAGATTTGGGAGTACGATAACTTCTGGACGTTATTCTATGCTAATGTTGACGCACAGAACTCGCTAACGAAGTTACAGAAATTCAACTACTTATTAAGCGCGCTCCAGGGGGAGCCCCGGGAACTGGTCAGACGTTACCCGATCACTGGTGACAATTACGACTCGGCAGTTAACCTCTTACACAAAAAATATGGGAATAGCGCAGATCTTGTAAGAGTGTTACACAAACGCCTCGAGAATGCAAACACGGACAAAAGTTCCATACAGGCACAAAGGAAACTATTAGAGTTTATTATCCCCGTAGTAACGCAACTCCAAAAACTAGGAGCCAATTTAGATGGGTCATACAACACTCAAAAAGTATTATCAAAGTTCGCATACAGAATACAACGGAAAGTTCTTGAGGTCTTGATGACGCATGACATGCCTGAGGAAGCATGGAAAATGCAAGACATGATTGAGGCACTAGACGCACATATAGGAACGGAAGAACGTATCAATAGTATGGTAAAAATTGATATGGGCAAGGAATCAGAACGCGGTGAAGGGTCAAAAAGGAGACCAACAAAACCGCATAACCATTCAAATTGCATTTTTTGCGACTCTACAGAGCACAGAGCCGCAGGCTGTTCACGTTACAGCACCATTGCAGAAAGGAGGAACTTTCTGCAGGAAAATAAGATGTGCCTCAATTGTGGACGCAAAGGTCACTTTGCATCTCAGTGTAGCAAAGAAGGATGCAGACTTTGCCAAGGGACAAAACACTTCTACGCATTATGCCCTCAGAGACAAAGCATTGATAATCCGATCAAGTCCGAAATGAAACCAACCATAGTGCAACCTACACAACCATCAAGCAAAAAACCATCTGTCAGGGCACAGTTGAATACAAATACCAAAAACAAACGAAACACAGAAACTTCAAAAATCACACAAGCACATCCAATCCGACTCTGTGCAGCAGAAGAAAATATCCAAGAAGAAGAAGGACAAGAAATCAAAGGCAACAGTTACCATTCATTCATGCCCCACAGTACAATGCAGAAAGAAAACATTGTACTCTTAACCGGAATAGCACACTTATGGAATGCAAAGAGCCAGAAATGGCAACCAGTTGAAATCCTCTTCGATACAGGCGCTGATCAGTCTTTCATAAGCCAGGACCTTACAGAAGAACTAGGGCTACAGTGCAAAGAAATGCAAGAGTTGAATATGTATACTTTCGGGGACAAAAAGCCGAAGGCCATTAGTTGTGGAGTGACAACAGTAGGGCTACTGGACAGCAATGGAGAAAAACATAACATACGTCTGTACGCAACACCAGTCCTAACGGCAAAGGGAAAAATGACACAGCTAAGTCAAGAAGACAAAAACTTTATGATGCACAACAACATTTGCCTTTCCACTATCGTGACGGGAGGCCCAACCAAACCGCAAATCCTCCTTGGATGCGATCAACTATGGAACCTGCTAGAATCCCCCTCTCCACATTACATTCTCCCATCTGGGTTACGAGTTATACCTTCAAAATTAGGGTATCTTCTAACGGGAACACAACAAGTAACGCAGTGCCAAGAATTTCAAGAATACGACGTTCAATCCAGTATGGTGACCATGATTCAAGCAATGACTGATGACGAAACAGATAGACAGAGGTGGGACAAATACTGGACAATGGATTCGGCAGGAATATACGAATTCTCAGGAACAAAAAACGCAGAAAAATCAGCAATCAATGAAAAAGTATTAAAGTTTTTCAACAACACTATCGAAAAGAAGGAGGACGGGTATTACGTACGCTTGCCGTTCAAAGAGAATCACCCGCCACTTCCCACTAATAAAGCTATTGCACAAAAACGCCTTCAGAGTGTCACCACAAACCTAAAAGCCCACCCACAGCTTTTAGCGGACTATGATAACACCATAAAAACTCAACTGCGAAGTGGTATCATAGAAGAGCTCCCGCAACATAACCAGAAAGAAACAGGGATCATCCATTACATTCCTCATCAACCTGTTATCACCCCTCATAAGGAAACCACTAAGCTACGCATTGTTTTTGATGCATCATCGCATTTTAAGGGTCACCCTTCTCTTAATGACGTGCTGCACCAAGGACCACTGATCCTACCAGACATCTACGCTGTACTATTACGCTTCAGAGCATCGAATATCGTAGTAACATCAGATGTAGAGAAAGCCTTTTTGCAAGTCCGTCTACACGAATGCGACAGAGACGCGACAAGATTTTTTTGGCTACGCGATTGCAATAAAGAGCCCTCCGCGGAAAATGTTATCACCTATCGCTTTACTAGGGTTACTTTTGGACTAAACGCCTCTCCATTCCTCCTCAGCGCTACAATTCAACATCATTTACAAAAGATCAGTGACACTAACTTGGGAAATGAAATCCAAGAGAATTTATATGTTGACAACCTCATACTGAGCGCAGATACGAAAAATGAAGCCATACGCAAATCTACCATAACCAGAAAAATTTTTGCGGACATGGGAATGAACTTACGTGAATTCCTCTCCAATGATGAAAGCATTATTACAGCCTTGCCACAAGATGCTCTTGCGAATTCCACGACACAGAAAATATTAGGTGTTAAGTGGAACAGTACAAACGACACACTAACAATTCGCTGCGATTTTCCGAAGTCACCTAACTTAACAAAACGCATAGTAGCGCGGCAAATATCATCTATTTACGACCCCTTCGGACTCATGGTACCGCTATTGACTCAGCTAAAACGATTCCAACAAGAACTGTGGAAACGCAAGTACGCTTGGGATACTACTCTACCCACGCAGATACAAGAGAAATGGAATAAGCTTGTTTCCGATGCAGACGGCTTTGAAAAATCTTTACCCAGGAAATTCGCAAACGAGATCAACACTTGCAGTCTTGCGCTTTTCGCAGACGCTAGTACCTTAGCCATGTCCGCCTGCGCATACCTCTTTGATGAAAAGGATGTGACATTGTTAATGGCAAAATGCAAATTACCGTCTTTGAATTCAAATCCAACCATACCGAAAATGGAAATGAACGCAATAACTATAGCTGTACGCTTGGGAAACTCTATATACCAAGCCTTAGAAAGCAAGCGAACTGAGAAAAACTTCCAAATACACGTTTTCTCAGACTCCCAGATCGCGCTGTCATGGTTAACTAGTCCAATAAACAACACTAATGCTGGTGTGTTAGTGACCAATAGACTCAAAGAGATACGAAACATAGTAAAAACCTTGAAAGGGAAATCAGTTTCAGTCCATTTTCACTTCGTGCAAACAACCGAAAACCCAGCCGACGCAGGGACGCGAGGGTTAACAAGAACGCAGTTATCAGATCATCACATGTGGTGGGAAGGGCCAAAGTTTCTACGCCTCCCCTGCCATACGTGGTCGGGACCTACTTATGAACTACAATTAGACGAATTAGAAAATGAAATACCAAGCATCAACGTTATTAACACCAAAAAAGCGGACCAAGAGACCGTAATAACATCTGTATTAGACTTGAAAAGATTCAGTTCATTCGAAAAAGCAAAAAGAGCAATGGCGCTCACTCTACTATTCCTGAAGAAGTTACTAAAACAATTCTCGCACGACAGACACAAAAGCGATCTTTA